CCTGCTCGTCGTCACTCCCGTCACCTGCTCGTCGCCGCCGCGCCCCACTCCCATCAACATCGCAACCGCACCACCCGCTACAGGCTCCAGCTGCCACCGCCTATCCCACTTTGAATTCACGCCAATAGTGATTTGTGTTTTGAATTCTGGATTTCGTTTGTTGTGGTTTTTTTGTGGATTTGGTGGTTCTATGGTTGATTTCTCACCTAATTGCTCCCATTTCATGTTTCAAATTTCAATTGCTACTATTATTCTATGAGAATTTGATGGACAAGTCACAATTCAATTGCTAGTTATTGGAATTTGTATGGATTTTGTTATAGCAAATGGTGTGGATTTTAATTTGGATTTTGCCACTATTATGCCGTGAGAATATTTCAATTTATGTTTTAATGCTATATTTTGTAATGTGGTGTGTTTATCGTTTTTTAAATACCTTTTTAATATATTTCGATCGTTATCGATGTATTTTCGATCGGATAGTTTCGTTTTTGATATTACCGGAATACCGATGTCGTTTTCATTTCTGACATTATCGTATCATTTTCGTTTTCGAGAAAAAAATATGAAAGTGGAAATGGTTGAGCCCTATGCCGATCGTTCCCGATCGTTTTCATCCCTAGCTCTGGCTCATACTGGAGTTCTGACTTAGGCTAGAGTCCTTGGCTTAACTTTTTTAGAGTTCTGTCTAGAGTTCTGTCTCTAGAGTTATCTGTCTTACAGGAGGATAGTCATCTAGGCCCCTTGAAGATGGTCGAATATTTAACATCACAAATGATGACTATAAGGGCTAAGACTTGGGTCATAACTTGCATGCATTGAACTAAGGCTCGGGTGTCCAATTTAACACATTTTCATGAACAATATGGCCGAACAAACAAACTCCATTTAGGCTCAAACTTTAACACCATCAATGACATGATAAATGAGGGTGATGTATATATTATTCTCGACTTAGGCATGCATGCAACTTAAATTTCATTTTTAAAGCCATTTAATTTAAAAATTCGGAACTTAGGTTTAAACACATGCATGGCTCGATTTTTCTTCATGAAAAATCCTAAAATATCATAAAATAGCTATGGTTAAAAGATGGTTCGGGCTAACCTTCACTGAAAATCGAAAATGGCTACTAGGGCTTGAATGGGGCTTGTTCACGGCTTTGGGACTTAGGCTCGAGTTGGAGTGGGATTTGGCCGAGCTAATGAACTCCACAAGACTTAGAAAAATCTAAGAAATGCTTAGAAGTTGCTAAGCCCTGAGAGAATATGCTTGGAATGGCCTGAGGTGCGATCCTTCTCTTCCCCGGGCTGGGCGCGCGCGCAAGTGGGCAGGGAATGATGTGATCGATTTTTCTCTCAAATTCTAAGTGTTTTGCTCGAGCTTCCAAACGTCTAAGAGCTTAAAATGGACTGAAGAAGAGTCCTTAAACAGGCTGAGGGGCGGAGTTAGCTAGGTAAGTCAATGGGGACACAAATTCATGACTTTGCACCCATCCATGCGCATGGAACTTAGGACCAAGCCTTGGGAATGTCCTTGCACGTTTTGGAGAGCATCTTGGTGGAGTTTTGCAGAGCCTTTGACTGAGGAAAAGCAGGTCTGATCGGGCATCCAAATAGTGGGGGGACAAAGACAAACATGCTTGAATAAAATAATCCCATCCCATCATGCACTATCATTAAAATAATCCCCATGCTAATTGACTTTGCTTAAACCTTTGTTAGGGCCATCTTAAGCCAAATTAATCCTCATTAAGTGTATAATACACGCATGTCTTGGGTCATGAAGGAATTGGGCCGGAATTTCAAGATTTGAGCTCAAGAAATGGTCTTGGGCGCTGGACCTCGCTGCTGGCGCGACCTGCTGGGCTGAGCGCGGGGTCTGTGCGGGCTGCTCGCGTGGGATAAGCTTGGGTCGGGTATAAGGTGTTAGGAAGGGTTCTCAACACTTAGAAAAATTTTAGAAATAATGTGCTAAGTCTAGGACAAAGCCTTGGGCTCGGTGGCACATGGTTGGGCGCGGGTGCGGGTGCTTTGGCATGAGCGGCTCGGCTAAGTGCTAGGCTAGATTATAAAATGTCCAAGGCTCGACTTTGATATTTTAATACACTTAGAAAAATATTCTAAGTATCAAAATACCAATTCTCGGCTATGCTCGGGATTTACTAGAAAAATGACTCGGAACAAACTAGGGTTCGAAGTCATTAATTTCTCGAGTTGAGTAGCTATAATTGAACAACCCAAATTAATGGATTGATCGTGACTTAAACTTGATGTAGAATATTCCAAAGAATAATCTATTATATTGAGCATTTAGCATATAAAATATAACTCGGAAAATTCTGAAAATTACGGATTTCACTTATAGTCGAGCAGTGAAACCGTTCTTAATATTATTACTAATTTGGGGCTTTACACCCTGAGAGAGATGACGTGAAGTGATGGTTAGTTAAAATTAGGTGAGTGGATGATTAGTGAATTAAAATTAATATAATATGCAATGTTTTAAATAGCGTTTTTTCGCGCGCTATATAGCGCACTTTTCATAAAAAACACGCTGTAGCGCTCATAATTTCGCGTAGTTCCGGAATAGCGTACGCATTTGATGACGTGGCAGGCTTTTTTTGCTAAAGCGTACGCTACTTACGCAATATTCGCGAAAGCGGACGCTATCTGGGCTTCAATTTTTATAAGCAAAAAAATAAAAAATAAAAAATAAAAAAGAAAAATAAAAAGGGCAACAAACCGAAGTCACGACTCACAAAAAAATCCTCGTTCACTCCCTCGGCCGAACCACACCGTCTAGGGCCCTGTCCAGTGAGACACACCCAATCTGCCGGTCCACTAGTCGTCGGCCTCTGACCGATTGAAAATGGCAGTTCAATCGTGTTTTTCATTATCGAATTTTGGGGCTACTTGATTTAATTGGGGAGTGTTGAGAAATTTGTGTGTTGAGTTTGAATAGAAGAGAATTTAAGAGAAAGAAAAAAAATCGATGTCTGCAAATGAAAGAAGAAGAAAGAAGAAGAAAGAAAATAAGAAGAACAATAAAGAAGAAGAAAATTTAAGCGAAAGAAGTAAAAAAATAGTTGACTGCAAGAAGAACTGGGAAAAAGGAAGAAGAGATAAAAAGGAAGAAGAAAGAGGAAAGAATAAGGAAAGAGGAAAGGAGGGAAAGAAAAAAAAAAAACAAAGGGAAAAGGAAAATTTTAGTGTTGGCGTGTATATGTTTCGTTGTGTGGTGTGAGTGGGTAGGATAGTGACCAATTTTTTCTTAAATAATTTAGGGTAGATGTGGGTTTAATTTACTTAAGCTAAAGAATTATTTCATTTAAGGTAAAGTGAACTGAACCGATCATTTTTCGAACATTAGATATTTTAGTCGAGGACTTTAGGCGAGTTTGGTTATATATATTATACTTTTTAACATTAAAAGTGAACTGCTCGAATAACTTACTCAATGCGCTACGCTATTTACGCTACACAATATAAGGACATGTTTTAGTTATAATATTAGGACTCTTACAATCTACCTAACCTGTCCGTAACCTAACCCCCAAAATCGCCAAATCGCACAGTCCTCTTCCATCTCTCTTCTTCCGGCGCTAGCCTTCCTTGGTGACGATTAGTCACCGGCTAGTGGTCCTCTCTGACCCTGCAGGGGTCGCGATTGGAGGCCTCCCTCTGTCGCCGGCGAGTATGTGTCGGGTGGTGGTGCTCCTCCGGTTTGGGTCTGTTGGTCTTCCACAGTCGTCGGCTGTCTTCAATTGGAGGTTAGTGGTCTCTGCTCTTCTTCTTCTTGCTGGTTTGTCGGAGGTTCCCCTGGTCGGCCTCGCAGTTCTCGGCGAGGCTTCTGGTGGGTTCGGGCTTTGGTCGTGGCGGTTTGCAGTGGAGGGGAGGCGAGTGAGCAGGGGTCTGGGTGGGACCCAAGAAGCTGTGGCTGTTCCGGTTGCGGCGGCCGGGATTGAGGAACCGAGTCATCCTCACCCTTCCCCTTTCGGCTAGTGGTGTTAGGCGACGGGGGTCCCAGTTCTTTCGAGCATGTCTAGTGGTGTTAGACGGCTTTGAGCCGGGGTTGGTGTGGGGGGCGGTTCGTCTTCCTTTCGGTCGGTGATGGGTTGATTCGGGGATTGGTACGGGGCTTGATGTTGGCTACTGTATAAGCCTTTGGCAGTTTCGGTAGTGTTTCTTCAAGCTTGGTATCCTTCTTGTATCGACTGTTCACTGCTGGCTGAGTCTGATCGATTGCTGAGGAAGGGCTTTCTGTGTTTACTTAGTTTTTCTTTTTTGTCGTTTTGTGTTGTTTGAGTCTGTGTTGTTTGTTCGGTAGATCTGCTGCGGTAGGGCTCTTTGCTAATTTTAGTTATTTTCATTTTGTAACTTTGTATAGTTTGTTTCAGTGTTGTTTGGGGCTGTATTTTTGGTTTGGGCCGTTGGCCCCTGTAGGCTCGCATGCGAGCGGGAATTACTCCGTTGGGGTCGTTCCTCATTACTCCGTTGGGGGTCGTTCCACATTACTCCGTTGGGTGTCGTTCCACCTTACCCCGTTGGGGGTCGTTTTCGTTGGATCTTTGTGCTATATTGTTTAGAGTTTGCTTTCTAGCGTTGCTAGTCGAGTTCTAGGCGGTCTTCTGATCTGTCCTCCCAGTTTTTTCAACTATTGGTTGTACTATTCAGCTAAGGGCTGTGTATTTTGCACATTTGTGCGTTTTGATTTATAATATTTTCTATCGTTTCGTAATAAAAAAAAATACACAATATAAGGACCAAAACGCGACGCGATGCGCTATGCGCATTTTAAAACACTGATAAATATGTAAGAATAATTAGTTGGTATTATTCTGTTGGAAAAATCTAAGCTGTGAACGTGGAAATATTGGCAATAATCGTTCAAATTATATTGATAATATTAAAAATAGTAAGTTTTGAGTATGAATTTAGTATGTGTTGAAATAATTGATACACAGATCCGCCTCAAGAAATCAATGCCTCCCTTTTTCCCGCCATCTCCCACATTCCTAATGCTCAATCCTCCTTCCCTCTTCTCTATGAATAAATAAATCTCCCTTTCCATGAACAACGATTCCACTTTACAGTATATAATGAGGCTATTTACGGGTCATTGATTCTGACTCGCGAGAAATAGAAATGGAAGGCCATCGGAAGAGAAAATCCTTTTCAGACATCACAAATACCTACAACCTGATACCGACCTCAGAGCTGCGCAAGCTCGTGGCAGCCTCCACCAATCCCACTTCAATCTCAAAGCCCCCGATTTCGATTTTGAAGTCGAGCTCCATCTCCCAATCGTCTAATAGATCCGACGCAAGTATCGGGTCATCCAACGTCAAGGCCGCGTGGAATTCCAGTATCGATCAATTTCGAACTCCTCCCTACGCAATCTCTTCTTCAATTACTCCTCCACGTATTTTTTGTTCATCTGCTCAATTTGACGTGGCTGTGTGTATTTTGTTTCCAAATTCTATTTGTATTCTGACTATATTATAGAGGACTACCTAGGGTTTTCTTCTATGTGCAGTCCAGGTATGGGTCTCGGTGTTTGTTGTTTGTGCTTGCTCGAGTTGTTTCTTTGTTGAGTGGGAAGTGAATCTCAGTCTTCATAAATGGTTGGCTAATTCATGAGTTTAATGCTAGATTGCCCTTTCAAAGTTATGTTTAATAAAATCCTAATTGCTTGTTGCTTTCGATGCCATTCCTTGAACAATTGTGGAGGGAGAAGGATCTAATTGTTTCCAACTTTATATATAAACCTGCTGTCATACATGTTGCTTCTGAAACCTTTGGTTTGGTAGTTAATAAGCTTGGGCCACGTTGCTGTCATTCAATTTTTGAAATTCATAGTATATGGTTCTGTATCCGTGTGTGTATTTGGATGCGTTTTTTATTTAATTTGTGTATTTACTTGTTGAAGTAGTGCCTAATTTGGTCAACGGGATGTGCCAGAGCTATTCTGCTTTTCTATGATATTCTGTTTCAAACTTTCTCCATGTGATATGGCAATCTTGAAAATGTTCGTAGTTGATTTTACAGAACTTAGTGAAAATTCATTGCGTGATTGGAATTTGTGTGGATATTGAAGGTGATAGGGTAAGTAAGGATGCATCGTGTGAACGAAAACAGATTTATGAAAAGAAGACAAAAGAAACTGAGGATGCCTTTGCGGTTGTTAGTCCCACATCGGTTGAGAAAAGGAAGGCCAAAGGGAAGGCCATTGCTGTACCATTGAGTTCTTCACCTTTCAAAGAAACGAACATTATGAATCAGAAAAATAACTGCAAGCCTAGTACTCTGTTTGAGAAAGAAAATCAGAAAGGCAAGATGCATCATAATCTCTTTAGTGATCTAGTTGAGCTACATGAGTCTAATAAGGGGAGTTTTAGTTCGCATAACCACTGTTATGGGAAAACAGAGAAACGGAAGGCAGTTCTAAACACTTCTGGACGTGACATTGGGAAACAAGATGGCATGGAAAAGGGTATTATGGACAATTCCAGCTACTCACTTGAGAAAACAATTGATGGAAAAAAAGCAACTGCTGAGCTTTTTGTATCCCGCAATGATGCAGAGAAGGCCATTCTTAGGCATTTGGGATTCTCAGTTATGAAGACAAAAGAGGTCAGAAAGGAGGTTGTTATTCCTTCTTCTAGCTGCTCAGTTAAGACAACAGTGGAGAAAGGAAATACTGTCTACCCAGAGGAATCAAGGGAGAAAGGCAAGGTAATCATGCAGTCATCAGATGATGTTGAGGTGACAACAGCTAAAGAGTTATCTGTTGCTGTGTCACTCAACTCCCGACCACGAAGGAAAAATGCAGGGAAGAGGAAAAATGATGTTGGGTCTTCCAGTTGCCCCCCTATGATGAAGACAAGAAATTTACAGTAATTCTCTCTCTCTCTCTCTCTCTCTCTCTCTCTCTCACTAACATACACACTCAGTGACTGCTCTCAATGTCTACCAAGCATCAATAGGGTGCTGTCCATGTATGTGAGCCTTTTTTGACAAAAGTCGTGTTCATATTTCAGATGTTTTCCTGATTTCAAGTCGTATTTCACCATAACCTACTCTTTCATCCTATAGTACTGACATGATAGGCTAAGCATAATGAGCATTATTTATATTAGGCTGTTGCTTTGGTAGTATTGAAAATTGGATTGTATATCATGCTGTAATTTTTTCAGTTACAGTTTGTATGATACGAACGTGTCATCATTGAATGTCCATACACCTAGAGTTTATCGTAGTTTTTAAATGTTGAATATATTTTTTCCTGGCTTTTCTTTTTTATGTCTTGAGTATATGTATAGAAGTTTATTGAAATGATGGAATTAGCTTTATCGGAGTTTTTATATATTTGTTTTATGAGAAATTAGATTCTTTATTTATTTTTTCCAAAGTATTGCTTTTGTGAGGCCAAAGAGAAGTTTGTTTGGGGAACACACAATTCTTGGATTGAGTTATTTTTTGCCAAGTTTTTATACGGAGGTGTTGCATGTGGACATGTGGGGCACTGTATTGAACCCAACTTTAGTGATTATTTCTATCTAAGATTGCAATTTCCAGAAGACTGAATATGTGGTGTTTTTGTTGCGTTATGTAGCTCCGGTGGTATATTTCCTCTTATTTTGAATGGATATCACTCTTTGTGACATCATTTTATGCTTCTTTTAAGGGTTAATCTTGATAATGCTGATGATACAAATTTTTCGAAGTCGTGGACTGATGCTCAACGAAAATTGAGAAAGGTCTGTACCAATGTTATTTTCTGTAACATTCAGAAAATGTAGTCTGTTCTTCTTTCTGTTTCCGTGTTTCTTTTGTATTATCATTGTTGGACATCCTCTGTATGCGATGTGTTTCAAATTCTCCTCTGGCTTGCACAGTTTCACTCCACATATAGCATTTTATGTTTTCACAATGTTCCTGTCATTTATATGTAGGTACATGTAGTTGAAAAACAGGAGCTGTTTGAGACTAAAATCCTGTTCTAGCTTTCACCACATTACCTTTTATTTTATTATTGTGTCATATGAGATCAGTGAATTAGCCTTCTCCTTTATATTGATATTGGACCCCCACCATAGTAAAAGTCAATAACTATACTAGCATAAGCATAAGATGTTAAAATCTGATATTTATGTTAGCGTAACTGATGGAGTGGTGACTGGTTGAGATTGAAGTATCTTTGGTTAGTTTTTCCGGCCTACGTCTGTTTAGTCTTTCTTTATCACATTATTGTTATTGTTCAAGGATTTATTTAATCTAGTAATCTCCTTATGTACTTTGAATGTGTTATCACATTGTTGTGTTTATCACATCTTATTTACTTATTTATTTTACCAAAATGAATTGCTTGGTTTGATGCTTAAAATGATTTTCCAGAAGAGGCCGATGATCAAAGACACTAATGAACTGCCAGAGGATTTTATCGAACAGCAAAGAGCATATTTCAAAGAAATTGATGAGTTTGAACTTCCAGAAGAGGAAGTATCACAGGATGAGTTAGAGTAGGAAAAGGAAAAATGTATGCAGCGCAGGTTTAAGTATCCATTGTACAGTTGTAATGTGATACGTTAGAAACGTATGATGAAGGGATTGCTATCGTTTTCTAGTTCACTTTTACTGATATCACTCTTATGCGGTTTAGATAGGAGACATTTCTCTTGCAATGGATATACCATATATAATTCAGGTAGCCGTGTATTGATAAAAAAGTAACCTTCCTTTATATGAGTTGAAGGAATCTTTTAGGGCGTGATTGTTATGAATCCATCATTATGATCCAATTTGGTTAGCTAAAGAAAGTTATTTTGAATAAAGTTGATTGAGTGAAAGTTATTTTAAATAAAATTGATTGAGTGAATAATTTTGAATTTGTAATTAAATAATAATTAAAATGTAATTATTAAAGTTGATGTGATATAAAAGTTTGTAGTTAAAATTATATGAGTGTATTAATAGTAAAATTAAAGTTGAATGTGATGTGTGATGATGGTTGATTGATGTTATTTAATTATATTTATAAAAAGTATGAGTTAAATTGAGATGAATTTTATGCTTGCTGATTGAAAATAAAATAACTTGATCGGTCAAAATCGATTAAAATCGGTTATGATCCATATCCAAACGTGCCTTAATTATAGAAAGAGCATGCTTGTGAATGGCAATCGAGAACCTCTTTTTACAACTTCGATGCTGATAAGTCGGGGATCCGAGTCGAGATTGAACCGACAAACGAGAGCTCGGATCGTCCCTGAACAGCTGAGAACTGCAAAAAGTGTTGGAAGGAATTTTCGGCGTTAGCACTCCGATTCTTAAGCCAGTATTGGGAAGATGAAGGGGATAAGCTTTGTAGAATGATATGTAGAGAGTGTAAAAGATTTGCGGTTGTACCTCACCCATTTTTCATAGGGGAATACCAGCCTGCATTTGTCTGCCTGAGTTGCCCACGGTCAGCCTGCCCAATTGCCCAATGTTTATTCTTATCTTCATTCTAATCACATATGAGTTATCATCAGATTCCTTCTTATCCTTCATAGATTGATTAAACTCAGTCGTTGTCTAGTTCTAGTTGTCACATTCTATCTTCTCATAAGTCGCTTCCACCAAAGTGGTAGCTCATTAAGTCGTTTTGGAATTGTCAAGTCGCTCTGGCAACGCAACATTTCAAGGCTTTATGTCGTAGTGATGTTAATCAAGTCCTTAGGTAGCCTTGATCTCCTTAGCTCGTCCTTATAATCAACCTCGACCTACTTTTGGCCCTTAGTCGCTCCTCGACCAAAGAATACCTGGGTATTATTCCAGTTCTCCACGTATGGCTATACCATCTAGTCTTTCCCCGAATTAACTCCATGAGAACTCGAGCTATGGAGTAAAGATGATTCGAATTCTGGCATCTCACACCCATCATTAATATGGAGTTGAAAGGACACTTTGTCTATTCGTACTTCGTGCTCTCGATACTTGTGCTCGATCTTGATCTCTTTCCATCGTGATTCAAAGGCTCAAATTCATAAAATTGGGTATAAATACCCCTATTTTCTAATCCAACACTTTTGCTTCTCTTGCGGTCTTGATTTCCAGAGCCTTTTGCAAGCTTAATAAAAAACGTAGATCAATAGTTTGACGCTAGAAGAAGGGCTCTATAAGTTTCTTGGAGTCAATTTTCAACTTGTGGACACCACACCAAAAATTTCCTTTCTTTCTCTAAAAAAAATCACCAGAGAATGACGTCATCTAGTGAAGACGGTCGATCAGAGCAAAAACTGAAGCAGCGACAACCGGTGGAGCAATCGTCGGCCGCCGCGCCTACCATAAACCGTGCATCGGTATTCCAACACCCTGATTTCCTTAAACGCATGGAGGGCACCGTGGCACAAATTTTGGCGTCAACCACGTAACCAGGTCACAATGGCAGAGACAGCGGAACTTCAGTACCCAACCTGTTAAAAATGCCGGAAAAGAACGACCCTCCCCCCCTCCTCTCTCCCGTTGGGAGGAGGGATAAGGAGTCGGTCCAGTAAAAAACCACGACCTAATCACCAAATTGCGCGGTCGGGGCCTGTAAAAGAAAAATGGTCAACCAGTCCCTGAGGAGGAGACCGAGGAGAGCTAGTTGACCCCAAGCCTTCTGGTTAAGAAACATGGCACTTCGGTTTTCTGCCGAATTGGCAGTCTGAATGACCCTAAGCCCGGCTTGAGGCAGACAATCCTCAAGGGTAAATCAATCAATCGCGATTCCGACGAGGTCGCCGTCATGAAAAAGAAGATTGTCGAGCTGGAGTGTAGCACCCCGTGTAGCGCCCCGTTCGATTTATAGAATTACTTGGATTATTCTATTTATCGAATTTTATTTATAAGGTATATTTATTGTATCGGTCGCGATGTCGACTTATATTTTATGTCGAAGTACTCGATCGTTTTATTGTAAAACGTTCGTCGTTCGGCGATTTCGGTTTAATCGTGTAGTTCGATTCTAAGCCGTTCGAATATTGAAATTTTTGAATATTGCTTTATTGGCATTATAATTATTATTTATTTGAAACAAATGCCTAAGTGATATTATTGTGTGGATTATATATATTTATGCGATAGTATATATATTTATATATATGTATGTTTTACCGGATTAATTATTTAATTTTTCGGATGTCATATTTTATTTTCCTGGCGATATGTATATTGTCAGATTAGATAAATCGAGCCTTGAGTTCGATAATCGGCCTAATTTATCGATTTATTCTTCGGTCCTTTCGGATAAATTTATTCGGTCTTTTGTCATAATAATTAAGCCCAAATGATTAAAATTTTTGGCCCTTTATTTTGTAAGTTTGGCCCACTTGGATAGCTATTTCCTTAAGCCTAATTGGTAAATACTAATGGTGGGAGAAGACTTTCATCTCGTTCCCTTCTCACGCCGCAATTGAGCAGAACAAACCCTTAATCTCAGAATTTTCGTTCGCCCCCAATTACCGAGCGGAACTCCATCTTCATCGCTCTCATCTCAGCCCTCTCTTCACGCCTTCCCGACCCGCAAGCCACCGTCTCCTCCCGTCGACGATCGAGCAAACCCAAGGAGTCGAGAGTTTCGCGTATCAACTCTGTTCACGAAAGGGAGAGGAGGTCGATCCCTTTTCAGCCACTGCCGGCGATTTCTCCTCGGCCGTCGACTTCGTCTAACGAGAAGCAAATCCCATCCGTCCAGCCCTTCGCTGTCGCACCCGTATCAGCTACCGATAGCCGGCGACAGCAAACAGAAACGGCGAGTTTTCGCGCTGTCCGAGCAAGCCATCCGTCGGCGACTTCAGGTAGCATCCTGCCGGCCTGAGGGACCCCAATCACTGATAAGCAGTCACCCCCGATCAGGTTTCCGCATCAGCCCCTCATCCGCACTTTTCAGCGAACAACGGCGGTCCATTCCGAAGGGTTTAGCCGTTGACTTCGAGCAGCCACGTCCCGTCGGTTCCTTTTTCCTACCAGCAGCGACCGACTCTTTTTCAATGGACAGTAGCCGTTCGCCGGAAGTCTTTTCGAATAAGCAGCAGCCGTCCAAAGCTTCGGCCAAGGAGCAGCAGCCGGGAGTTTCTTTTCAGCGAGCAGGAGCAGGAGCACATCGGTCCTCGTCAAATCCTTCGCCGGTTAAATGGAGCAGCAACAAATCCGGTCTTGCGTGAGGAGTCGGGGGTTGTTGCCGATCAGAGGAACAGCAGCGGTGCAAGCAAGTTTAGCGTCGCCTTCTTTTCCGGGCAGCAGCAGCCCCGTCGTCCGACAGCGGTCAGCCGACGTCTCACAAACAGCAACAAGTAGCCGTGGTGAGATAGCTGTGACCCCCAGCAACGGCCGTGCGTGAGAATTGATAACCAGCGAGTGGTCGAGCTCGTTTTCTATGATCTCCTTCATCGTTTCTCGTTAATCCTCGAAGGAGGTATATGGTTTAATCCTCTTTTAAATATTTAGAGTGTGTTTTGAAGGATTTAATAGGGCTTAAGGTTCGTTGAGTTGATAATTGTTGAAATTGATGAGTTCATGAGAATAAGCATGATTTTTGATGTTATGAGTTGATGTTGGAATCTCGATTTAGGACGTGCATTAGCCTCTGTAAATGAGTGTTTTTCAAGTATTTAAGAGTCGGGATAATTGAGTTGGAGTTATTTGATAAATCGGGATATATGTTGCCTTGTTCGGAGCCTTGCCGAGTTTTGAAAATTTGATTGAGTTGCTGCGTTTTTCTGAGTTTTTTTAAAACCTCTGTTTTGGAGCTGAATTAACATGGTATGTTGGTGTTTAAAAATGACTTGAGATGAGTTTTAAAAATCGGGAATTAGATCGCTTTTGCCGAACCCTTTTATTTTCGTAAATTTGATGTTTGAGAAGGCTGTTACTTTGCTGCGTTTTTCTTAGCATTTGCACCTCTGAAAATTATGTTTAAACACCTAGTATAATATGTGTTTTGATGACCTTGAAATCTGTATAAGAACTGGAAATCAATTGTCTTTAAAATTTTCTTTTTAGTAAAATAGGATTCTTCTTTTTAATTTATTTACGTAAATATACTTTAGCCCCATTTTTTTGTTGGAAGAATCGGATGTCCTAATGCTGTGTTTTGCTGATATCAAACCTTTAAGATGAGGTGTTAAATACCAGGTAAGTGTTTTAATTGCCTTAGGNACCATGGGTTGAATCCTTTTATTTTCTAAAATGCAAATATGAATAGGCTGCGTTTCCTTTTAAGTATTATAACCTTTGTTATAGTGTCTTTAGACCTGGTAGCATTGAGTTTCATATGCATTAAGTTTTGGTTTAAAATTTAGTTCAAAAGCCTTGGATGTATTTTGCAATATTAAGTTAAAAATCGCCTTTGATTTGAGCATTTACATTTTCAAGAGTTGAGGTCTTAGTGCTGCGATTTTATGGGATTTAAACTCTGATTTTGCATGCTTTAAATACTTGGAGAAATAGAGCTTTTATGCGTCTCGAGTTGTGTTTAAAATAGGAGTTCAAGAAAGCTTTAGAAATTTTTATTAAATGGGAATTTTGTGGAATTAAACCAAGGCTAAATTCTAGATTTTAAAGAGTATTTGCGGGATCTTTATTTTTTATAAGTTTGAGTCGAGAGTTCCAACATCTAAGAAGAAAAGATTTTATACGTCGTGAACCTTAAGCTAGGAAATCCTTCAAATTGGTAAATTAGTTTATCGAGTTAAGAGTTAATCTTTTATCCGAATATCGTTTATTTAAATGTAGGTGCTTGAGGAGTCGAGCCTCGACCTACGTACCTGTTATCGTGTGCAATATTCTACCTCGTCTATCAGGTGGGTTGTAATTCTAAAATTTTCTATGCTGTAAATGTTATTACTGTTTTAAATTTGGTAATTTGGTATGATCAATGTATGCATGTGAACCATGTAGCCTTCGATGTGAGCTGTACAGGCCGTCGAACGGTTATCCCCGTAGCTATAGAACGTACCCGTTGGGTAGTCTCCTTATTACTATGAGCCTTAAGACCTGGGTTAAAGGTCCCTGTGCTGGACGACCCCCGTTGGTAAGACCAAGGTGAGGCCTTGGCTGGCGGGTTACTCCTACTGGCTGGACACGCGATGTAAGACCGGTGGGCTTTCGATATATAGTCGGCAGTAGTCTAATACGTAGGTGTGCACATGAGTCTTATGATTGATATGATTGATAGGAGATGAGATAAATAATTGATTCGAATACATGCTGTGACCATACCTTATTGATTTTTTTTTATTACTGTTTCATTTATTGTGAATAATGTTTACTGCATAGTGGCGAGCACTACTTTTTTCAATTGTGCTCATCCCTACCTGAAATTCATGTTTCAGGTTAAGCGAGGCAGGTGTGACGGCGGAGTTAAGCGAGTGGTGGTCGGTCTATAAGACTGGTCCTAGTATTTGTTATGCTTCCGCATTTATGAACTTGGAGTATTATTGTTTTTTTGATGAATTCTAGATTTTATGACTGAATAATGTTAAGGAGATGTTCCTTAGAATTTATGAATATTGTTGGAACCCGGTTTGGGTGATGATTTATGAAATTTTGGAAAACCCATTTTTGGGAGTTAGTATTATTGATGATGATTGATGATTGAGTTTGATGAATAATCGTGTATTGAAAAATTGGTTAGTATTGAAGTTCG